ACCCCGATGCCAGGCTGATAGGCGAACTGAAGCGGGTCCATGGATGGTCCCACCAGAGGGCGGAGATGGGCGAGGACCAGCCGTTCCAGTGTCTTCATCAAGTGCGATGTCAGCGCCACAGGCCTGTAGCTGTTGAGGTCCTTTGGGTGCGGCGTTTTTGGCACCGGCACAACGCAGGATGTTTTCCACAGTTGTGGAACTCTCCCCAGCTTCAGGCTCAGGTTGAAGACGTGCTCCACAATCCCACAGAGTTGGTCTGCGCAGGACTTGAGGAGCTTGAGGATTTCCAAATGACATAGCTCTATGTACACACAACGAACCATTTACAGTTTTAAGGGTCAGTTAACCTGAATAAAAGAAAACAGCTTATTTTCTCAATTGCTGCTGGCTTATTGGTATTCTTGATATGTGGTGAGAAATTAGCATTATAAGGCTCTTTTGATAGTAAAGCTTGCTGACTAACGCAGATATTGCTAGGTTTGCATATTTATATATATAATATTAAGAATTTCAATAGCAACATCTCATTCTACTGACGGTAGTAACTGACTGAGACATTGTTGCTGGTTGAATTTTTTCAATGCAATTCAAATGAACCATTGTTACCTGTCTTAATTTAGCATGTTAGCATCATAACATTTGATAAGATAAGATAAGATAAGATAAGATATGATATACCTTTATTTATCCCTAGTAGGAGAAATTCAAATTACACACAGCAGCATTGGGGAATATAGTGCAATAAAAAGGGTACAGTGTACATACAATAGTATCACAAATAAGAATGTTACAAAATATAATAGAAAATATAAAACTATAAATGAAAAATATATACTTTATGTAATGTGCAGTACAATGGTGTGCAAAATAAGTAGCAATTCTAGCTGAGGGTAATGCGAAAGTCATTATGTGTGATGGCAATTGGTCATAAACTAGAGAAGTGAACAAAGTAATGGTTTGACCTGATGATGCCACTGGATGGAAAATGAAGGGATCACCAAAGTCTTTAGGATTCATCAACTGGGGATCATGAAAACTATGGTGCCCAGCTGTTTAAGGAAATGTGTGCGCCTTTAAAAAAAATAAAACTGTATGAATGAGACCTTTAAAGATTTATGTCTTGAGTCTTGAGTGCCACAGACTGAGTAGGGAAGTTTTGTGGGGCACACTAATGTTAGCTTAAATACAGAAAGTGTGTCAAAGAAGTAATTTTGTTCCTATGCAAAGAGGACCAATTTTCACGACACCAAAGATTTTCATAAAAGAGATTGTGGAGAAACTAAAACGTGTTAAGCTGTTTGTTGTTGATCACCAAACAGCACCGCAGACAAGCAAGCTGGTCCACCAAAGTTTTCTGACAAAACCAGTTCAGCAGGTTCCCCCTCAGACATAAGAGACCCACGCTGTATGTGCTTGTAAAGTCCCAATGGCAGTCACACTTCATTCAGCCGTTATAAACCTTTTCTTATTTTCCCACTACAAAGACTCATGTGCATGCTTAGAATCACACACGGTGTACAGTTCAAAGCTTTTGGGTCTCCAGTCAGTCTGTCCATTCATACAATTAGGGGAAGCCCAGTAGAGACTGACTGGTGTGTCCCTGTAGACTTAGGCCCATCTCCCCTGCAGCCAAGCACAATAAACACCCCCAGAGGTCGGCTTCAATCGCCATTGCTTTGGTTTGAATTAGGTGGAGACCCAAATCACACCCGGCCGTGGTAAAGGCGTATAAAAGAGTGTAAACAACCCACCCTCAGGACCCCAGGCGTCTGGGTGGGGGCCACCAAACATCCCCTCTCTGTGTCAGGGGGCTTCAAAGGTATCAGTGGGGATAGGGTGGGGGCTGAGACAGAGAGGCAGTGGCCAACAGTTTTCCTGCCCTGGTTCATGCTTGGAGAGGAGCTGGGTCAGGAGGGCATGCAGGAGGAACAGTGGGGATGTATACATTTCTCTTTTATAAGACAGTTTATATAGCAGCACCTTTGAAGGTTTCAGACTTCAGTTTGGTGTTTTCTACCGTTTCAGGTTCGGTTTAAGTTTAAACAGATGTGATGGAAATGAAAATGTATCAAACTACATAGCAAAGCACCGACGTCATGGGGACAGACATGCAAAAACACAAAGAGATACACATCCTTTTTACATCATGCATTACTTTATTGTTATACATAATCTATTATTACATCAGTTTCTTTAAAATCATCTTTACATCTGTATCATGTGACACAGTTGGGTGGTTTTTTAACATTCTCCCCAACAATCCAGGTGGAGTAGTGCATACTGGGAGAGGAGAAGGGCCTTGATAAGCCCTGCAGGGCAGGAATGTTTGCTGCCCACTGGACAAATAAACAGATAAAATATGTACTGCATACAGTTACAACATACATAACATACACCTAAAACATCACACTGAGCTACAGGAGGCAAGGAAAGATGTACCAAGAGAATCATGTCATGAAGAAAATGCAGCATGATGACAGCACTCTGTAATGCCATGTTTAGAAAGGCAGTGATACAAGTCAGGAGACTGTGATACAGAAAACATCACATATCATCTTCAATTGACCCTTCCTAAGGCCCGCCCCTGTTTGGTCTGTGCCCCAATAATAGCTAATCTGCATCAGTCGTTAGCTGGGTAGTTACTTCTGAAAGGTTAATGTTAGCAAAACACTGGCTAACTTACATCAATCAATTTCCATCAATTGTTAGTTAGGGTTAGGCCAATATACTGCCAGCGTATTGCTAACATTAGCTAACATAAGTAGTGACTGTATATATGTCACTATTTTTCCAGCTTCACAATTTAGTTGTCTTTTCAACATAGATTAGCCTAGCACAAAGCGTATCTAAGAACAGGAAAGAACAAAGTTGACCACGGTTCTGACCGAGGGTTGCTCAACTGGAGCCGACCTAAAAGTGGCGGGACTTAGGAGGACGAGTCAGTTCAACCATCAATTAAAATTATCTTAACGTGATTTCTGATATCGTATTACTGACTCCAGCTTTGACAGAAAAAATATTTTCTGTTCAAATATCTTGATATTCATTGCATTTAAAGTTTAAAAAACAAAAAAAGGCATAAAAAGTAAGTTAACGTGAGTAAAATGCCATGAAACATGAAGACAAACCATGGTGCACAATTCAAATACATCTATAAAATACATCTGTACAGGATGAAGGCAGTAATGGGTCCCTTGTCTCCGTGTTCGTAGAACACATTGAACATAGATTCTGTATTGCATCATTTGTAAAGAAGGAAAACATTCCTAAAAGTGTTCTTGATGCATCACCATCAAACTCCACACCAAGGACACTCTAAACTCCTTTTTGCTTAACAAAAAAATGTAAAAATATGTAACCTGCCATCAACCACCCCTGCGGCCACTTGAGCGTTTATCTAGCAAATCAGCAGCCTTCACAACGAGTTAACATCACCCAGCGTCAAATCTTTTCACTACATATCCAGTTAGTCTATTCAGCCTGTGGCCTCATGCTGGGCCTCAACTGGGGAGCCAGTGGAGGACCCACTGGGGAGCAGGGTGTGTGTGCCCGATGCAGGAGGGGAGGAACGAGATAGAGGGCCAGTTTGGACAGTTGCATTGTTACTCAGAGATTATACAGACAAGCGTGACCTCTCGCGCCTGACGCAACTCAACTGTACGTCAATGGAGGAAACTTTCACATGTGGATGTTAGTGGCCACTTCCTTTGATGTGGTTTTTCTGATTTGTAGTGCAATTAGTTTCCTCTCCTCATGAAAAGATGAAAAATGAGACTCATTGGAGAAACGCTGCAGATGATTTTATGTTCTCTGTCTGAATCAGAACTTTTATACCCCTTCTAACTTTCTCTCTCTTCCCCATCTTTTCTTCAAACCTCTCATTCCCTTTCTAATAATACTGCATAGTAAGATTCACCTAGTGCATCGCAACTGTTGGACATGAGCCAAAGCAGGCAGGCTGGATTGTCAGACTTCTTTACACAATGCAAGGTTGCGTAAGCTTGGTATTTATTACAAAATCCTCATCTGCACTGTGTCTGCTTGTTGGATTAAGTAAAACACACACAGGGCACATCTTGATTAACCTTAATGTAAAGCCTTTAAAGTTCTGGATAAGGTACCTTAAGTAGCTCAAACAGAGAACCGAAGTGTAACCAGATCTTTCAGGTTCTGCTCCAGAAGTAAGAAAATCTCATTCAAAAACCCTGACATTTGTTAAGACACTAATAAGTAGAAGCCTGGGAACAGAGCCTTTCTCAACAGTATTATACAACCTAATATCCTTGTTTATTTTACTTCTGGTTTTTAGTGACCTTCAACAAACACCCTTTCCCATAAGCTCTAGAAGTTAGCGGGCTGAACGTTACAGCTGCTCGACAAAAGAGGCGAGTCCATGGGCAAGTCAAGTTTCACGGCTAGCCCGGACACGTCTGGAATAACAACAGGACAGAGAGACAGAGAGGAGTGAAACGCTCTAGAAGTTCCCTGACAGCAGAGACCATGCTTGTTTTTTTCCAATGGAGCAGTAGTATTTTCAGTGGTCACGTTAAAATCATAAAGGTTTCAGTTTCTTCATGCAACTGTTGTAGTGGAAAGTAAGGCGCTTTTTTTCAGAAAGGCCAACTGAGAGTTTGCATTGAGTTACAGAAGTTGAGAAGAAATATAAACGTATGTTAGACGCTGCTAGACAGGCGAGGTGATACACGAGGCCATCGTAGTCAGTTGGTCCCACTGTGGCACTGTCTCACCAGCTCCCTTAGACAATATGATATGCATCTACCATAGTTATCCATGGTAGTATCCTTTGTGCGTTTTGACTTAATAGTAAATTCAATAACATAAAGTAGTAGTTTAGACCAGTTCATAGATTCTACATTACTCTACAACAAGATGTCTAACTCTTTAAAACTGCAGTAGGTAGGTAGGTTCTGAAACTTTCACTATATCCT